CCTCTCGTTTTTAATCTCTTTTATTTTGCCATATGATGTGCTTTAAAAATAAAAGTGCCTTGCCTAGTAACTGATTGATCGATTAATGCAATATTACAATATAGAGGAAAAGCATCACTTATTACTGAAAGACACAAGAGATGTAAACTGGTTGGTTTCTGGGAGCCTGAGAAAATAATAAAACTGCCAAGTTTAGCATAGGAGTCAATAACAGCCTATAACCCTGAGGTTAAAGCTGCCATGACGTCATGATCATTAAAAGAAATAATATTTTTGAAACATGTAATTTAACACAGATCCTTCCTTACCTCTAATGACTTGTTCAGAATGTGAAGGTTGAGAAGCAAATTCTTCTTCTTTTCTACACAGTCGAGGACATATATAATTATATACACACACACACATATATATATATACATCATTTCATGGTGGAAACTGTCCAATAATATTTATTAAAGCTGAGAACAAGCTCGTAATACACTTTTCACATTAGCGCTACTTTTTTCAATATGAAAACTTAGTGCTGCAGATCTGATGCTCCAGCTCGCACACGTTTTCACGTTCTCTCATCACATATCAACAAGCCTTGCTAATTTGATTATTTCACTCTACGTAGTAAATCAGTCATTAGTCCTGAGGCCTCCTGCATTCTTCAACAAGCTTTGCATTTTAGTGTGCAGCTGTGAAAAACAATATGATATCCAGGTCCACAAGGGTTAACACCACAGGCTAATATGCAAATGTACTCACCCGGAGATGTTGTAGACAGCTGTTCCTCTCTTTAGTTATAGGCAGAGATGATGAGATGTCTCTATTTCACCAGAAGTAAAAGTTTATAATGTCAGTCTTCTTTGTCACATAAGACTCCATTAAGGCCAAAGAGCAACTATCAAGATTAAACGTCCTACCTGGAGAAAACAATCAAATCCAATGTCACACTTTAGATGAAAGGGAAAGAGAGAGAAGACTCCACTAAATACTTCCTAAACGATCTGAGGTGATTAAAAAGCTGTCAGCTGACCATCAGTCAGACTGACGACTCAGCACCTCAACATGCTGACGTCAGCTCGTGCAATTTTATTTTCAGGTCTGCTGCAAGTTTCCACTGTTGTCACATGATTGTGGTCAAGTAGGCAAAAGTGCTGACGTTAGTCAGCTGACATTTGAATTCTGTTGTGCATTTCCTCCTACACTTACGGTACTGGTGCTGAAAGCAGCCAAGGTGAATGTGAACAGAGTACAGCAGATTTGTCAAACAGAATGAAGTGGTATATAACCATGGAAACATGGTTATTATTTCTGACATTTCAATTCCTCAAATCCCAGCAACTATAGTTGCATTATACTAGAATAGCTCTCAGCAGAGTGTATTCTTCCACCAAGGTCCAACAGTCCCTTTATGAAACCACATTTAAATTCACTAGATCCAGATTTGTATTTGGATCTGCACTAAATTGCAAACAATCATTATTTCAGTCCCCCTTAATATACCAATTTTTTTTTAAATCAAGATCCATGATTATCTGAGAAACCATCCCATCTTGCAATGCAAAAGAAAGTGACCAAAAATCCCAGATCCACACCAAAATTCAACAGGTTTTACTGTGATCTATCTGTTCGCCACGTTTTGTAGTAATCTGTCCAGTAGTTTTTCTGTGATCCTCATATTCAATCAAGCTGCACCAAATTCTACACACTCACTTATCAGTCCCCCTAAATAAGCCTTAGATACACAGATTATTCCCTGGGAATTTGGTGAAAATGTAAAAGTCCTATTTTGCAATGTTAAAGAAAGTGATCCTGATATCCTGATATCCCCTCTCTCTGCATCTGTGTCAGAGAGTATTGGTTTTTTCTTGTCACCTGTTCCATCCTTACACAATGTATCCTGGAAAACTCTGGTAGTTTTTGTGTAATTCTTCTGAATGATAAACATATAAAACAAACAAAAATCAAACTGACAATAAAGAAATTTCCTCACTACTTTAAATGAAATGTTAAATAGATACCTGTTCAGAATGAGCATTACCTTGTCCAAACAAACACATTTTAATGATTTAAACTGTACAAAGTTTGGAAGAATGAAACCTTAAATCAAAATGCATCTTAATATTTGGATGGTTTGATTCCTCATATTAAAACACACAACAATTTTTCTTAGGGTTTGCTGGTATATTCACAGGAGTTCGCTCAGTGAGACTATTGCCGTATGATATCTGAAGTGGACTGTATGGTTCTAAAGTATATTTAAGGCAAAACCACTCCCAAAATCAAACTGTATTCAAGTCCTTGGACAATTTCCTCATACTCAAACAAAATAAACAAATCAATTTATAGGTTTGTTGATTTCAGACAGAGTGATCGATCAGAGCTTTCCACATGCTTAGATGCCATGAGGAATCTGTGAGAACATGTTTTTTGAGGTGACCTGCTCCCTGGAAACCTCAAACCTACTTCATGCCACAAATTTTCTTTGATATATTTCAAGAACAGGTTTTATTGATGACGCACCCAAACATCTATACTGTAGCTTCAGTGGGCTAGATTCTCTTATTTACACAATGCTTCCACAAAGTCATACAAATACTCAATAGGTTTTAGGTCAAAGGATAGATATAATACATTAAACAGAACACAGGGTTTCAATATTTCATAAAGCAATTGTCACAACAAATCTACAAATGAAAATGGATGATAGAAAAGAAAAGGACAAATAGTTAACTACTTCAAAATCTGTACAGGCGAGTCAAGTGTCCATGAAATAAGGAGGGAATGCAGCTCCTCTATGTTTTTGTCCTTAAGAGTTCTGATGAAGGCAGACTTCATATGTAGTTGATATTTCTTTCAAAGGCAAGGATCAGATAAACCAAGCAGCTTATACAGCGAGTCCTTTTTATTTGCTGCATCAAACAAAGGAAAAGTGGGAGGACATGAGGAAGACAGTATTCCACCTCTCTTGTTTCTGAATTGGTTGGTTCTCACTTGATGTGGACCACTTTCTCATCAGTTTTTAATCGCTTGCGTCTGGGCTGTATGAAGTCCTCATCAGATTCGTCTGTATCATTGTCCTCTTTCTCTTTCTCTTTCTCCTTCTCTTTCTCTTTCTCCTTCTCCTTCTCTTTCTCTTTCTCCTTTTCATCTTGGGTCTCTGGCTCGGGCGCTTCTGGGAAGATCTGCCCCGGAAACATCTCTTGTAGCTTCTCCTCAAAGTACAGACCCACCGCCTTCCCGGATATCGCCATCTCTGATCCCACCTGCCAGATGATGAGACGGGAGAGCAATATGGAGGGAGTAGGTGTGAGAGAATGATAGAGTGGGGGGAGGAATGAATGGGGTGAAGCAGGGAGGATGAACAGGACAATGAGAAGACAAATTAGATGGGGTTAAGACTCCTGGCAGCACGGTGGCCCCGGCTCAACCTTGTTGTACAGAGCAGAGATATCCGGCCTCCCTCTCCCACTGTGGTTCCAGGAAGCATTTACACAGTTCACAGTTAAGTGGCAAAATTTCAGTGAGCTGGTTCACGATACTAAGAACAAATTTCAGGTTTCAGGGAAGAAATAAATTATGTGCAAAGCTTTAATGCTACTCAGAATATTTGAATACCACTGACATTAAAAAACTCCTTTGTAGAAAAACCTCAAAGCCCATCCAACACCCACTGACTTCCCTGGTTTCTAGACAGCAATTTACTAAAAACTCTGAAATTAAATGTATTTTCTATTATGAGATTTACTGCGTGATCTCCATCTAACACCCACCACCCTCCCTATGAGAGGAAGACCCATCCTAACTCTACTGGCACTAAATGATTTCAGAGCTCATTTCCTGAGAGTAAGATTTAAACCAGCTACAGGAAACAAGCCCATCACTCAGAAGTTCACTTACATGAAGAGAAACTTAAGTCTTAAAAAAAAACATGTTACATCAAAACAAAGTCTGGACTGAGGCCGCTGTGCAGCTGTGTGTCTTATAACTCACTAATTTCCAAGTCACAAGGTCTTGATTCAATTTCCAGTTTGATTCAATATTGATTTGCTCCGGGATATTTGAGTTACAATACAATTTTGCTTGGATATGATAAATATTTTCAGAAAACTTGAGCCCCAGTGCTCTTGTACACCTGGCGTGTTATTAATACTATCATGGATTAAAGCAGGAACGAACACAGAGCCATAACATTGATGTACTTTTTACCTAACATGATCAACTAAAAAGACTGAGAAAAAGATCAATCTCAGGAAATGAATTGATAATGGAGAAAAACTACACTGAAGATGTTACTTGATAGGAAAGCTGTTTACGCTCTTCTCCCAGAGTCTTCAGGAATCGAGATAGACAGTGAGATTGTTGAGCTAACTGAACTGATCTAACTTTTCCCACAGATGTGATCACTTCAACGTGAACATTGAAAAACAATAATGTGTAATATTAACTATGTATGTAACTTGCTGTGACATTAATTGAATAAGAAAAAGGGAAATGAAAAATATGTTCTATATAGAAATCAGAGCTCAGAAGACTGCATCCCACCACCGCATCCCACAGTGGCAGCGAGTTGGGGTATCGTGGTTCTGTCTTGTCTTGCGATATGATATTGTGGACATTTGTATCGCAGTTTCAGTGTATTTTGTGACTAATAGTCACAAATACAATTTAGAACACATCTATCTTATAATTTATATCTCCAAATAAGCTCATGTGATTCCTCCTTCACAAATGAGACATTACGATGGAGACATTTTAGGCTATCCAGTATCTCTAAACCCCATATAATTTATCATATTTTTTTCCATTTAAAACTAAATGAAAATAATCTAATCCATATTTTTAGACCATCTTTGGAAATATATATTTTTTCAGTTTGTAACAGTTTGACTGCTCAAATCTGATGCTCATGGATTCTCTATTCTCTCTAGGATGAAGACTAAAATGCTTCTTGGAGCCTCAGTGGGTGGGGACAAGACATCTGTACTCTATTTGAAACGGCTTACCTGTGTATTAATCTGTTTCTCCTCATCATAAACCTGGATTATTCGAGACATCTAAAAGGGGCAATAACATTACAACAAAGACAGTGAAGCAGCAGGGGGAAGAAAAGAGTTCACAGCACAGGCAGGTTATTTGATAAGATCAGAAATCTTCTAACAGCCTACTGTGCTCGGGCGTACGATGTGTGAATCACCAAGTCGTTACTGCACAAATTAACAGCAAGTTAGCCCGCAGGCTGTGGGACACTGTAGAGTCATATGTAATAATTTAGGGTCATCCAGAGTTTATGAGACTTTCATTTTTCTGCAGTAAATTTCTTCTCTATAATGGTTCATTTAGTGCACTTTTTGGAACGGGCACATTTCCTGTTTTACCACATGTCCGGTATTACAAGTCACTCTTTCATTATTATGGATATTATGGATTAGGAATTTTGTCTTTGCAAGTGACATAATAACCAGAACTAATTATGAATTATTTAATCATATCTGAGTTTATTCAGTCTGCCCCTGCTTCTTGTGCTGTTCTGCAACACTCTACATCCTTACTTCTTCACTGCTAGGAAAAAATCTGTATATGTTTAATGTGGAAAATGTAGTGCCATCTAGCTGTAAAGATTCAGATTGCAGGCAACTGAGCACCCCTTCCATCACCCTCTCTTTCCAAGTGTGCATGTAAAAAAGTGAAAGACCCTCTCTAGAGACAGTATAGGTTTGTCATATCTAGGCTACTGTAGAAACATTGCAGTGCAACACGACAAACTCACGGAGGACTCACTCTCTATATAGTTATGAAGGACTCATTCTAAGGTAACACTACTCTACAGTTAGTTTTCTCAAATGCTCAGATTTAGAAAATTAGGATCTCCACATATTCAATGTGTATAAAGGTTGGCATTATCATATATATATATGACAATGCCACTTTTTGCATAAAATGATTCTTTAATCATATGATTCAGCATAGTGTGACAAGAACAAATTAGAAGAGCTTAGATCGA